GCCCTAAACACCTGGAAATCTCAACCTTGAATACAGTCTTTGACTGGAGATCCAAAGCTATGTGGGGTAGGCCATGACAAAGATTCACAAGCTTCTGATTAAAGAAATTTTTCCTAATTTCAATCTTAAATGGCAGACTCCTTAACCCAAGACTATGAGTCCTCAACTTGTCATCCAGGGGAAAAAACCTCAGCCTGTCATACCGTGCCAAGTCCACTAAGAATGTTACATATTCCAATGAAATTACATTTCACTCTTCTAAACACGAGATAATATAAATTCAATCTACAAAATCACTTGTAGAACAGCCCTAGGAATTAATCCAGTCAACCTTTGTTGACATCCCCTAAGATGAGTATATACTCCCTCAGATAAGACAAAAAGCAAAAGTTTTTTTACATTCATTCGTGGGACATGGGCGTCGCTGGCTGGTCAACATTTTATTGCCCATCCCATGTTGCCCTTCAGAAGGTGGTGGTGAGCTGCCTTCAAACCAACACAGTCCACCTGCTGTAGCTTTTCCACAATGGGTGAGGCCTGACCATAGCCCTTCATGATTGTAGCAAGACTTCTTCACCCTATTCCGCAACCCCTCCCTTTAAAAACTAATAAATCATTGGTCTTCCAAATTGCTCACTGCACCTGCACGTTGGCTTCCTGCAATTCATGTGTAAGGATACATAAATATTCATGAATGCAAACTTACATCAATTTCTCACCTATTAAAAACATTCAGATTTTCCATTTTGTTTTCTACTGAAGTAGATACTATCACACTCTCTGATTTTAGGCTTCATCTGCCACCTTCTTGCCCAGTCATTTGGTTAGTCTAAAAAAATAAACTGTGGAAGTGATTGCAGACAAACATATTAAGAACATTGTAAAATGTTCTACCAATTTTAATATGGTGAAGGGAGAGTTGGAACTATAAAATTTAAAGGTGGCAGTGAACTTAAAGAAGCTAAAAGTAGCAGACTGAAGATAAATAATGAACACATATTCCCTTGTTTGGAAAGGTTCCAAAGAATAAATTTGGAAGGCTCTAGCACATTAGAAAAACGCCAACATTGTGAGCTAACAGAACTTTGATGATGGAGCTGTTGCTAGAATTATGTCAAAAGGCATCATTGGGGAGTCATTGGCATAAATAAGGATTCAGAAGAGATGAAGTGTACAAAAGATCTCGGCATCATTACAATCTCATTAGTTGAGTAGCAATAACGGATTCTTAGATGTACAGTTGAGATATGTGTAACATAATAATGGAATATGATACAGCCAGCCTGGATTTATGAGAAGATTTTGCTGAACAAACTTCCTTGATTATTTTCAAGTGTGGCACACCTTAAACAGATTGGGATTTTTATTTAACAAAATTTAACGAAAGCTTAAAATGTGGAATGGTTTGCAGAGCAAGTTAAATCCAAAAAAACAATGAGCTGACACATGAATTGTAACATGCATGAGATGTTGAATGGAGTACTAAGGAAGGCCAGTACTTTAGCCCTGAAACAAAAACAGAAAATGTTGGAAAAACTCAGCAAGTCTGGCAGTATCTGTAGAGAGACACAGAATTAATGTTTCGAGTCTGATATGACTCTTCTTCAGCCCTTTCTGCACTACTTTCAGACTTCCAGCCCCCACAGTACTTTGCTTTTATTTCAGCACTTGAGTACTTGTTGTTTTCAAACAACCTAAATATCAGATTCACTATAACCTTATTGGATTTGCTGATGTCCTAAACCAACATAATGATAAATTACATTTTACATTCAAGTCAAAAACATGGAAACACAAGTATATAATGAATGGAAATGATTTACAGAGACATGGGAAAGGGTCATAGGATTAACAGTAGATATGTCAGTACACATTTCTGGATAGAAATGATAAACAATTGAATTCCAGATAGATTTATATAGACCAGAACAGTCAAATATATCTACAGATTGGGCAAAGCTTTAAATTGGTCAGACCACATTTAGTAAATTTTGGTCATCATGCCATGAAAACAATACATGCATTATAAAGGGTACAAAGTGTTAGAAATTGAACCCAAGTGTAAAATGGATGAAGTAGAGAAACAATCTAAGAAGTTTACATTTTACTGTCATGAAAAAAGCTAGTTAAAGAAGGTTACCAAACAGTGCAAGTAAACAAGAATAAGATTGTTATTTGATCATAAAGAAAAGTAGAATTTAAGCAAATAAATTATTGAAAAGTGAATTTAAATAGAAATTATGGAGATCCTTTGCCCAATAAAATGGTAGTCACTTGGAATGGTATAGTGTTGAACACACAAAAAAAGTACTTATGTGTAAACTATGAGTTCCTGTAAAAGAAGCTCAGGAACAATAAAAGGGTAGCATAGTGGTTAGCACTGCTGCCTCACAGCACAAGGAACTTGGGTTTGATTCCAGCCTCAGGCAACTGTCTGTGTGGAGTTTACATGTTTCCTGCTTCATGCTCCAGTTTCCTCCCAAAGTGCAGGTTAGGTGAATTGGCCAGACTAAATTGCCCAGCTATTTGCAAGCTCGGTGGATTAGCCATGGGAAATGTAGGATTACACTGATGGTGTAGGGGGTGGGTTTGGGTGGGATGCTCTTCAGAGAGTCAGTGTGGACTCAATGGGCCTGCTTTTACACTCTAAGGATTTCATGATTCCATTCAATAATAGGGATAAACTTCAATAGACTAATTGATCATTTTCATATGGAACCTGCTTTAACTTTTTTCCTTGTCAACTCTAAACTGATGTAAATGCTTTGACTGAAACAATGTTACAGGTAGAGAATCACATTGCTGGGATAAATTGCGACTATGATAATTCAGCAAAGATTAATTTACCATAACTTGGATATACTTATAATATTCTGTAGTATAAAATATGTACGTAATTATGAATTGCTTGGACTGGAGAAGACAAACTTGTGAGACACAACCGACTTAAAAGCAGATAGTAATACAGTTTAACAGAAACCAACATCCAAATTTTAGATGTTAAAAAAAAAATATTTTTTTGACCAAAGATTTAAAGCTTTGCTCAATGCTACACAATTTTATGACCATAATAAATTGCAACTGAAACAGGCTAAAATTATTAAACATTTTAGGTAAATATTTGTCCATGTCAAATCTTTCACGAAAAAAGCCTCCAAAATGAAGACTTTGATGCAAATAATGTGGAGTTAATAATGAGGCCAGAAATTATAATTTGAGGAAAAGAAAGGAATTCTTGAATTATAAGTTTTAAATTACATCATTAATATGTAAGGATTGGTAATGAAGGATGAAAACAAAGTGAGACCTTAGTCTCATTAGTGTGAATGATGATGTTGTTGTCAAATTATCCAAATTTGCAGAAAAGTGAAATGGTGATGCTTCTATTGTCAAATAGCTTGCTAGTATTTACTGTCCAGGTTCATTGGTGAGGAGTGGCCAGTTGGACAATAATGGACAGCTCAGACTCACTGAGCTACATGTTAGCATTGGTTTTTATTTTACTGGAGTGGTCCAGCCTGAAGAATAATCAGTGTCAAAATATTATGCACCACATCCTACATTAGAATTTCACATAATATCACAGAGAGAAAAAGAGAGCACAAGAATTCTATGTGAGAACAGGAAGTATAAGTTACCCATAGATCTGGCTAAAACTCGATTACTATCGTGACTTTTTTTTGTTAAATAGTCCAACTTTGCAGAATTTATAATGTGACTTGCCATCTAATACATAAAAGCTGTATTTGTTGGTTAGTCAACACATCAATAACGTCATCCACTGGTGAAGGGAGAGAAATTCAGTTATCAGCTGTTAATCCAGAATCTGTCAGGATCTATTTTGAAATACGTTAAATGAGATTGCAATCAGTTAAACGAGCTTGCCTGTGCAAAGACACATGTCCTGAACACATTATTCTTATACTGCAGGCAAAGCCGGTATTCTGTTTAATTGTGGGGCATGTGATTTCATCACAGAAACCTCTGAGGAAAGTTTATTTCATTTCTTTTGATCTACCAACTAAAAGGAGCAACATGCCAGAAACACTTGCACAGACTTTGGGACATATCAGAATTGCCCAATGCAACAACCAGCTGGTAATTCATTAATTATTAAATCTCACTTGAATATTATCACAGGGTAAGTAGGATTCGAGAGATGTAACTATTTCAATGTATGAAACTTCTTGTCATTTTGGCTTTAAATCTGCTTTATGTAGCAAAAGTTAAGATGCATCAAAGCTCAAAACCAATTCTGTGTTTGTGAAAATGTTGTAAGGATGTGCCATTTTTATTCATTAAAAAGTATGCTACACTGAGGCTTGGAGGAATCTTGCTATCACCAGATTTGCTGACATTTCACATTTCTAATTGCTGCAAATTAACTGACGTGCATGGACACCTATTCCCAAACTGAGAAACAATAATTTAATAGTCAGAAGAAGGGGCTGGGCAAAGTGGAGAGCTGTTCAATAAAATATTTTTGTTTCTAAGACAATGGGTGTGAAATTTGTTTATGGCAGTCGCATAAAACAGGCTTTCAGCATGATTTTTCAACATGCATGATCTTCTTTCCGCTGAAGTTCACACAATATTTTAAGCTCTTTTTGAAGACACATTTCGTAGTTTTGCTGTCATTTTTGCTTGGTCGATGTGAAGAATCTTGGCAATATTTTCCAAATCAATGTAAAATAAAAACTGGCACAGTGTACTTCAGCTTGCTAATTTGCTACAAGCCTGTCTCAAACTGCTGGCATAGACCAATTTTACCCCCGATATATTTAGCTGCTTCAATCAATTACAGTAGGCAATTGGGTTTGTCAGAATGAGGGCACAGTTTGAAATCAGTGAAATCTACAGACATCTTCAAAAATGGATAAGAACACCATTACATTTAATGGAAAAGAACCAATTTACTTCAGAACCTTACAGAATGAACTTGTTAAGTTTTACTTCAAAATGAATCCCGGGTAGGGCAAGTGTCAGTACTGAGTCTATTACTTATACCTCTATGAACAAGCAAATAATATCTTACCCTCTAACAATCTGTCATGTCTTATGAAAAGTTAGCAATATATTTTGTGAGGCTAATCAACTAAATGATATCCACAGGCAGGCTGTGAAATTGCTCTCATATTTAGGGTCCTCTTTACATTTAACGATTTTACCCATTTCTGCAAAAATCAGAATGTGGATGCTTGTTGAGAGCATTGAGTGAAAATCACACGAATCAAAATGTATGCTTAAGGTGAATAAAATGGAAATCATTGTTACTTTTCCACAGTACCCATAAAAAGTGAATTTTATCATTAGTAGCAATAAAAATTCTAAATCACAGTTTTGTCATTGGTATGTGAAGGTTATTCCAAGGTCCCATCCACAGTTCTTCCTCATCTGATTGTGTCTGATCGCTGTGGGACTCAAATGCCTCCTTAGCACCTTCGCTGTCGACAGCTGATTCTTGGTCATCTGTGCTTTTCCCTCTCTCGTTCTTTGCCTTTACCGTGCTGAGTCTGGACAGGCAGCTGGTAGGCCCCTTGCTGCTGGAGGCCATGGAGCTACTTGATGGTCTTGCATTGAGATTGTCATTGCTGCAAGAAGCTGTCACATTGGCCAATGGATTGTTCAATGGGACCTTTTCTTCCTGTGTTGCTGCCAGTTTGTCTAGTTTCTTAAAATGTTTTCCTACTCTTGCAGGCGAAGCTGCTTTCCCATTGGTCGGAAGGCAACTGCGTCTTGTTCTTACGATTGATCCATTTTGAGCAATGTAGATATTACTATTAATGTTGCTATGGTTATTTGGGTGCTTGATACGAATCCTTTGTGCTTCTGGTGCACTGTCCTCACCAGTTGAGCTGGTTTCATACTCACGATCTACAATCAACTTCACTCGTTTATGGCGAGACCACTGTGTGAGGAGGAATAGAAATATTTTAGAAAGACTTGAGACATTATTCAACTGAAACTTTAAAATATAGTCTGAATTATATATTGGTTTCCTTGGATCAAAACTTGACCATATTGAAGAAGTGTCCTCCTTTATCAAGAACAACATGCATTGACAAGGACAACACTTTGAACGGAACAATGTCACAAAATGCATCAAAGAGGTAATTGGAAAATAGACATGAGGTCAGAGAAAGACAGATTGACAATGACTGATTTGATTCAAGGAGTGAATTTGAAGGTGGATCTTGAAAGAAGTGTGAAGTAGCAAAGGGAAACCTTCAGAGTGTGACCTAAGTTGTTGAAGGTGCACTACCAATGATGAAAGGACGGAGAGAGACAGAGGAAGTCAGGGGTTGAGGAAAGTTGTTGAGTTGACGGACATTGGAAATGCAATTGACTGTAGATGGGGAAAAGGGCACGATAAGAAGGACAGTTTGATGGAAGCAACGTCACCAAAGTTTGATACCATAAGTGAACTTTGGAAAACTTCATGACTTCTAAAAAAGGTAATTTCACACAGCAATCTTAGAAAATCAACCGCATGCATGATGATAGGTATAGGTGTTCTGATAAATTTAAACATGCCAACACAATACAAAAACAAAATGTTGAGTTCAGTGGAAGAAATTAATCATATTGATCAATAAAAACTAAATAAATGCAACAGAAAATTGTTATTCAATACACTGATTCCAGAATAACTGCTCAATCTTAGAGAAGCACCGTATAACCACACAAGCAAAAGTCACAGCAAACATTTACAATCCAATTCTATTACTTTACTGACTAAAAATAAACTCATTGAAAAAACAGCCATGGCAAATATCAAACCCACTCTTAGAAAATGTTTTGAACACCTGTAGTTCCTTTTAAAACGATGTTCCTGATTCTGAAAGATCTTCACTCTCTTCTTGGAGAGCTCCTCCATCACTACTGTTTTCATTATATTCGGAAGCTGTTCCTTTGCTTAAACTTTCACTCCCACTGGATGCATTGACTGTTTTATTATCTCCTGACTCAGAATAACTTAAGCTTTCCATTCGATCAGAAACAGCTGCACTTGTCAGACTATGGTTCACGCTACTTCTGCCACCAATGCTGGCTTGTTCAGTACTCTCGCTGGGACCTGATTGACTGGTATTACTTCCGGTGCTAACATTCTGGTCATCTACCACCTGACTGTTAGTGCTGATACTTCGACTAATACTTTCATAAGTATTTTGTTGACTGGCTGTTGACCTGGATATTGTTCTGTCGGTCACACAACTAGCTTCATCTTCACTGGCCTCACTTTCAACATCTTCATTCTCTGTCTCAGAGATGGTACCTTGGTCTTCATCTGATTCTTCCTCAATGATATCCTCAGATCCACTGGCAAACGTTACTGATGTACTTATACTCGTTCCTCTTGTTGAAAACATTTCACGGGAACTACTGTTACTACTTCTTGTGGCAGATGTCCCTCTGCTCTTAATACTTTCTTGAACTGACAAGCTTGATTTTTCTCCAGGGCTGTTTTCATCTGCCGTTTTCTGACTGACCTCACTATCTGACATCAAACTACTTTCTGTTGCTACTGATATGCCCCTGCTTTCTTGGGACACTGTTTTGGAACTTGTTGCTTGTGTTGATATGCTGGTAGCAGCATCTTCATCAGATTCATCTGATACTTCAGCAAAACTATGTGATGCAGATTCAGTTTGAGATGATGTCCTTGACACAAAATCTTGACTTTCTGTATCAGACAATCTGCTCCGTGAAGTTTGTCCACTTTTAGAACTAGGCTTTTCAGAGGTTTCGCTTTTGGATTCTTTATCAGAACCAGATTCATCCTCTTTACCTTTCTCTGATTCTTCTTCCACTGGTTCAGATTCTGTGACATCTTCTGTTGTATCGGATTCATCATCTTTTTCTTCATCTGAGTCCACAGTACTTTCATTTGTTTCATCTTGATCTAGCGTCACTTTGAGATAGTCTTTATCTTCCATTTCTGAATGTTCAAGACTACTTACTGACAAATCATCTCCAGTCCTTTTAGAAGAATCACTTTTCTTCTGAAGGTCATTACTATCTTCTTCAGAAACATCGCTTTTTTCCTCGTCACTCTCTGCTGTGACACTAATCGAGACTTTTGATTTTTTTTCTTCCTTTTCAGATATGCTACTCGTCTGAGTCTTAGACTCATCTTCTTGTTCACTTACAGCAACTGAAGTCTTACTGACTGAGCTTTCTGATTTTCGCCTGGGATGTAGCTGTTTAGAAAGTTTGATACCCTTCAACATTTTGTCCATTTTCTTTTTCTCTGTTGGCCTATCCATTGTTGACTTCTGAAAATAGCTCCCGTTAATGATCATACTTCCTGAGTCACCATTTTCCACACTATCTTGACTTTCCACATGGTGTGCAGACACAAGTTTAGCATAACTAGAATCCTTGCCACTGCCCTTGACTTTGTGAAGTATCATGGGAAATATTTTCGCTTTCTTCCATCGAGAGTGATATGAGATGGAAGGCTCCACAAGCTGCTCACTGCCTGCCTCTCCTTTTCTGGGATCTGTTGATAATTTACTAATCTGCATCACACTCTTCAGCTTCCGCTTTCCTTCTTCACCGTGAACCCTTCCTGCTGCCTTTTTCTCTGCAACCTCCGTGGTGCCTGCTTGCTCTGGAGCCCCACTTGAACCTAATGCCTCACCCCTTGATGTCCCTGCCTGAGCCTTATCTCCTCCTTCCTGCTTTTTGCCTTTCCTAATAGGACTTTTGCCTTGCTGTGTTCCCTGAAATTATGAAAATGGGACTGGTATTAATCAATTTATGCAGAATCATCATTGACAAACAAAACACTTCATTTTTAGGCATGACATTCATTTCCATTGGTCATAGAAAGGAGGACTTACACTGCTATTACATCTTATATATCCTCATTAATTCCCAATGTTTTTTCTAGCCACTTAATTGCTTTTGAAATGTCATCCCTGTTGTTATGTAGGTAAACATGACTGCCAATTTGCAAAGTCCAATAAATAATCGGCTGTTCCGTTTCATATTGGACGAGAGGTAAATATTGGCTGTAACAGAGGGAAAATTCCTATCTTCATCAAACATATTTATCTCAAATGCAAATGCTTTTAAGGATAGAGAAGACAAAACAAACCCTAATCCAAGTTTTATTCGTTCACAGAATGTGGTGTCACTGGCTAGGCTGGCAATTATTGCCAATCCCTAATTGCCCCTAAGAATATATTGGTGTTCTCCATTCTTTAACCACTGCAGTCCATGAGGTGCAGATACATCCACAGTGCTGTTAGGAAAAAAGTTCCAACATTTCAATCCAGTGACAGCAAAGGAACGGCTGTTGGAAGTCAGGCGGCTGGCTGGAGGGGAATGTTGGTGTTCTCATCTATCTGCTGCCTTTGTCCTTTGGTGGTAGAAGTTATGGGTGTGGACAGCACAGAAACAGAGCCTTCAGTCCAACCAGTCCATGCTGAACATAACCTCTAAACTAACCTATTTCCATCTGCCTGCTCCTGGCCCATATCATGCCAAACCTTCCCTTTTTATGTACTTATCCAAATGTCTATTAAATGTCATAATTATACCCACATCTGCCACTTCCTCAGGAAGTTCATTCCACACGTGACCACTCTCTGTGTAATAATTTGCCCCTCATGTCTTTTTTAAATCTCTCTTCTTTCACTTTAATAATGTGCTCAGTCTTGAAATCCCCCATCCTAGGAAATAGACAACTACCATTAACTCTATCCATACCCCTCATTATTTTAAGAACTTATATAAGGTCACCTCTCAACCTCCTAAGGTCCAGTGAAAGATGTCCCAGCCTAAACAGCCTTTCTTTATAACTCAAACCTTCCATACCTGGCAACATCCTGGTAAATCTCTTCCAAACCCTCTCCAGCTGAATAGAACATAGAACATAGAACATTACAGCGCAGTACAGGCCCTTCGGCCCTCGATGTTGCGCCGACCTGTGAAACCAATCTGAAGCCCATCTAACCTAAACTATTCCATTATCATCCATATGTTTATCCAATGACCATTTAAATGCCCTTAAAGTTGGCGAGTCTACTACTTTTGCAGGCAGGGCATTCCACGCCCTTACTACTCTCTGAGTAAAGAACCTACCTCTGACATCTGTCCTATATCTATCACCCCTCAATTTAAAGCTATGTCCCCTCGTGCTAGCCATCACCATCCGAGGAAAAAGGCTCCCATTGTCCACCCTATCTAATCCTCTGATCATCTTGTATGTCTCTATCAAGTCACCTCTTAACCTTCTTCTCTCTAACGAAAACAGCCTCAAAACCCTCAGCCTTTCCTCATAAGACCTTCCCTCCATACCAGGCAACATCCTGGTAAATCTCCTCTGCACCCTTTCCAATGCTTCCACATCCTTCCTATAATGCGGTGACCAGAACTGTACGCAATACTCCAAGTGTGGCCGCACCAGAGTTTTGTACAGCTGCAACGTGACCTCATGGCTCCGAAACTCAATCCCTCTACCAATAAAACCTAACATACTGTACGCCTTCTTAACAACGCTATCAACCTGGGTGGCAACTTTCAGTGATCTATGCACATGGAATAATCCATCAAAAGAGCTTTGGTGTGTTGATTTGAACTGACATGACTTATTGTCACAAAGCACAGATTGGGTTACCATTGCAGGAATGAGTATATCATTACTGGCAGCAAACATGAACATGTTGAAGAAATTAAAGAGTTAAAAGAAATGCAGTGTAAAACATTTCCTGTAAATGCTTAGTGTTTTTCGCCCACAGGAGGAAAAAGGACAGAGGTCGTGGGTAATGTGTATTAACATGTCAGCCAGTGATGTGCTTCTACCCTTTCATCTCAAATCAGAAATCGCTCAGCTGGTGGGGATAAAACTTCATGACTCTAATGGCTAAAAGAACTTAAAATTTTTTAGCAGCAGAGGGA